CATACTTTTCTGCATGTCTGTCCCTCCCCCCAGTAGATTACCAAGTCCTTGGAGTGGGATCTCATCTCATTATTACACATTTGTGGTGCACCTATTATGTGGCAGAAACAATGCTATCTGTCAGGACAACGTATAAAGAGCTTGGCATATGTAAAGACTGTTGACTCATGATCAAATATAAATGCTACAATACAGGAGAGAGCAAAGTGCAGAGAAGAGCATGTACATGGTGCAGAACAGATGGGGAAGCGTCACAGATATAACACTTAGGATGGGGCTTGGGGGACACCAGACACAGCTGAAGACAGGAATAACACACTAAAAATAGGAGGATTAATTGGACGTTTACATACTGAATGTGGAGAACCACCATGTTCCCCAGCCCTCTCCCCAACTCTACTCCCAGAATACTTGTGACTCCAGGCAGGAAACTAGAAGAGATCGAAAGGCATTGGGGGTTCCCTAAAGACATAAAATCAGGCATAGTGGCCCATGCCTGTAATCCCAGCGCTTTTGAAGGCCAGGGCAGGAGAATTGCTTAAGGCCAGGAGTTTGAGACAGATTGGGCAATGTAGAGACTCTATCTCTATAAAATAAAATAAAAAATAAAGTAAAATACACAGCTTGATAAATGAATATGTAAGGGCAAAAGGTTGTGCTGCAAAGCACAGAGGGTGAGGGGAGGATCCAAGGTGAGGTTGGAGAAGCAGATTGGGGTCAATTGCACAAGGCTCTGCATAACCGGTTCAGTCTACACATTACAGTTTGGCCAGTATTTGTCAATCTCACTGTCTTGGTACACTGGGCGTTTCAGAGAGAATTATGAGGAGTCAAAAGCATCTTGTTACTAAGAATAGCTGAAATGTGGCTACTTGGCATTTTAAAAATAAATTAGAACACACTCTCAAATGATGTTGAACAAAACAATGTCATCGATGACTTCATTTATATAAAAGACCAGGCAAAGATAAGCTCTGTCTCAATTCAGGATATAGTTACCTTAAGGGGTGGACAGTGATTGAGTGGGATTCCAGGGGCTTTCCGGGTTCCTCTGATGCTGTTTCTTGATCTGGGTCTGGGTCCACACATGCTGTTTTTGAATTGACAAGTGGTATACATATATGTGTTCTTTCCTCCATCTCTCATGCTTCACATTAAAACAAACGAATTAGATTTATGACGCTGTGTGCTCACCTGGACTCCCATATGCTTTTACTGGGTGAAGGGGTGGGGCTACAGAGTGCTCTTTTGGGGTACTCTGGGAACTCACTGCATAGTCAATTACCACTAGTTTCATGTTCCTTTATGGCCTAACTCCAGGAACATCTCTTGGATGCTCTGAAAGACAGTCAATACAGCCAAGGGTTACCTTTAGCAACAGTTAGGGCTTAGTGTCTGATGAATTGAACTACATGCAAATCAGCTACATATGTAAAGGTTCTGAAATACCAACACTTGGCATACCTGTAAGATTGCTTTTCCCTCATTTTACATAAGAGGGGCTGAGTTTCTTTCCAGCCTTTTAAAGAAACACGAGTCAAAACACATTTGAATAAGCGTGAGTTATCATCCAGTCAACATTTATGTGCCCTCAGGAATAATTTTTCTGTTATTTTCATTATAAAAAAGTCATACATTACTTAACAACGGGATCCATTCTGAGAAATGCATTGGTAGGTGACTTTGCTGTTGTGTGAACATCATAGCATGTACTTCCACAAACCTAGATAGCAGAGTCTACTGCACACCCAGGCTGTATGGTGTAGCTTACTGCTTCTAGGCTACAAACCCATCCAGCATGTCACTGTACTGAGTGCTGTAAGTAATAACTGTAATGCAATGGTAAGAATGTATGTATCTAAACACAGAAAGGGCAAAGATACAGTGTAATTTTATGGGACCACCATCTGTGCATGTGTTCCCGCTTTGATTTAAACATCCTTACATGGCACATGACTGTACGTACCCAATTAAAAATAGGAGTACAGGGCAACCCCTTCGGGTCCCCTTCCACTGTGGGAGCTTTTCTGTCCTCTCAATAAATCCTTTCAAAAAAAAAAACGAATACAAAAAGACATGTGAAATCCAGTCTACTTCAGACCTATCTCCCAAGGCAACTACTTGTATGACTTTCTTACATATATTTTTAAAAACATTTTGTAAGTTTAATCTCAACAATAATAATCTTTCTCAAATTCAAATTAGAAATCCTGTGGAATGTCTTGTTAGGCCACACTTCCAGTGGGGGCTCCAGAATATTAGGTCAGACCTGCTGGGGATGTGGGTGTCTGGTGTGCAATCCAGTGCCTTATGAAAGATGCAAAGAATTGCACAGAAGCAAGAGTAGAAAAGATAGTTTATTTAGAAAGCAAATTAGAGAGAGGGGAGAGGAGAGGGGAGCAAGATTCACCTCTCCAAGGTAGGAAAGGGGGCCAATACTTAGGAAACATGGCAGCAGCCACAGCTCAAAGAGCACATGGCCACATCAGAGTCTGGTAAAGCAATGGTAAAAGTCTGTAAAACATACATATTTTAAATACATTATGTGTTTACATACATACTTTAAATATGTAAGTCTGGTAAAAGATACATATTTTAAAAATGCACAAAGCACTTAGAAATATATGAATGTATGTGTATTACTCCTGCCCTGTTTGTTTTTCTGAATAACTGGAAGCCTGCATATTCACTTGTTTTTTTTTACTGGAGGTGTTTCATATCCAGTAACATGGATACAGCACATTTTCCTTACAGATGTCGAGTGTCATTGAGTATGTAAATGCTGCCTGACTTAATCAGGTCACCTAGTCTTTGTTTTTATAATGTGGTGTGAACATCTTAATATGAAAGGAACCAAAAAAACCCCAGATTTCATTTATTTAAGAAAATTGTGTATTTATTCTTTTTTTTTTAAGAGTCAGAGTCTCACTCTGTCGCCCAGGCTGGAGCGCAGCGGCATGCTCATGGCTACCGGAGCCTCAACCTATTGGGCTCAGGCAATCTTTCTGCCTCAGCCTTCCAAGTAGAGAGAACTACAGGCACACACCACCACACCCAGCTAATTTTTTGATTTACCGTAGAGACACTGTCTCACCAAGTTGCCCAGGCTGGTCTTGAACCCCTGGACTCAGGCAGTCCTCTTGCCTTGGCCTCCCAAAGTGCTGGGATTACAGACTTGAGCCACTGAGCCTGGCTGTATTTATTCTTACATGTTTAACCTTCAGTCATCGTCAAGGTACTCTTCGTTTGATGTAATACAGCTATTGAGACACTTTTTCCACTGCTAACACAAAAGTTTTTGAACTCGTCAATTTTGATGTCTTTTAGTGCTTCTGCCGTTATTTTGATTTAGCTCTTCTTTCACAATAGCAAAACATTTCCCTTTGAGGGCTTTTTTCATCTGGAGAAACAAAAAAAATGTCTCTTGGATGGGAGTGAATTAGAGAAGGGTGAGGGATAGGCGTCATGCTTTTTTGGTCAAAAACTGCTGAACACTCAGTTCGGTGTGGTCAGGTAAATCACCCAACATGAAATGGGCAAACGCATTGAAAGATTCTCCAAAAAAATATTCACTGAAGTTGAATGAAGTTGTCTCACAAGAACGCTAGCTAGTACACTAATGCTGATGGGTTCCTAAAACACTTACTTAGAGGGGAAAACCTGTACTACAAGGCACCTCCACGCCAAAAGATAATTCTAGTTATTTTGGGATTCCCCTTGTATATTTCTTTGATGTGCTTTTTAAATAATGGTGGAGACTGTCTCAATGCATATTTTTACCAACAGTATGCTAAATGCAAACTTTTTTGATCTTTGCATTTCTATTTGGTTAACCTTGGTATCTCACTGTTATTTTAATTAGCAATCCTCCATTCAGTTCTATTCATCTTTCCATTTCTACCAGAATAAGTACTAGACTGTTTTGATTACCATACCCTTAGGATGTATGTTAATACCTGGTAGGTCTCATTGTCCCTGTTATTTCTCTATAGAAGAATCATTAAAAAGGTTAAGGACGTTTTAGATTGCTTTAATGACAGACTTACCAGCACAATCTAATTGCTGCTCATATTACACAAATCCAAGAAACATGAAAAGTGGAATTTCCTGCTTTCCCTCAAAAAAAGAATTATTCACATCACAATTTTAAATAGGAAAATTAACTAGTGACTAAAAATTTTTTTAAGACATGTTCCTAGAGTAGATTATATATAATCACCTCTCAAAAAAGACAGGTAAGATCTTTTACTTTTACATATGTGTAAATAACACAGAGGGAAACTTAAAAAAAAAAAAGCCACTGCAAAAGGATTTTTTAAATCAAGTTCTTGGTTAGTACCATACTAGGCTAGTATTCTCCTCAGAATTCAAGTCTATCTAGGACGTGGAATGTGACCTTATTTCAAAATAGGGTCTCTGCAGATATAATCAAATTGAGTTCACACTGAATTAGAGTAAGCCCCAATCCAATGACTGATGCCCTTGTAAGAGGGAAATTGGACACAGACACACACAGAGGGAAAACACCATGTGAGGCGGATATTGGAGTGATGCAGTTAAGAGACAAGAGATGCCAAAGAGTGCTGGCAGTCAGTGGAAGCTGGAAAGAGGCAGGGAAGGACTCTTCTCCAGAACCTTGAGGGCATGGCCCTATTTTACCTTGATTTTGGACTGCTAGCCTCCAGAACCATGAGACGATAAATCTTAGATCTTTGAGACATCAAGTATTTGGTAAACTGTTATGGCAGTCCTAGGAAACTAGTACAAAAACCAACACAAATTTTGTGTAAGTTTGAAATGCCATAAATTTCAAGTAGTATAAAACTTTATCGTGTGACGTGTCATTTGATGTATCTTTTCAGTCACCAGGTTGCTTGCAATAAGGCAAAAAGAAAGAACTTGATTAAAAAAACCCTTTTGCAGTGACATTTTTTTACACTATTATATGAGATCACTGGGTTATAATTTACATCAAAGAAAAACAATTTCTGGAAATAAAAGTCATTGTTTTATAAATGGTTCATACTTTTATTACACATTGCCTCTATATATCTTAACAACTTCAAAAGTGCAGTTGGATTATACGGGAAAAGATTTTTCGTTTGCAAACGATAAACGGCATTTTGTAGTTCTTCAAAGCATTTTACTATTCTGTAAAATATTCCTACTTTAGAGACAATATTATCTGGGGCCATTTCGCAATTAACAGAGAAGGGAGTATCCAGTTCTTTTGGAAGCAGAGGCCTTGATGGAGGCCCTAGGCTAAGTTCTTTTCTGTCCCTGCTTGTTCCAGCTTTACCCTGAATTTTCTTACTTACTTCTTGGTGTAAAGATGTCTCTTTACTGCTAGCTAAACACTGGTCTGTGGATTCCACTTCAGAATCATCAGAACTGTCATAATCGACCAGACTTTGAGACGCCCATGGAGAAGACAGACTACGAACCTGCGAGGTGTGGGTCTCCTTGGACATCACAACCTGGTTCAGTGGATCAGAAGAAGTATCAGCAGCCCAGGAGACCCCAGCATAAGCATTTATGTGACTACCAGGAGCAGTCAAATTATGAGGTGTTCTATGGTTGGGAGTTTGGTCTTGGACAAGTGAGGGGACACAATCACAAACATTTATGTCATATTTAGATTCAGCTACATCAAAGTCCTTGCAAATGGTGAAGAAATTATTCCAGTCTTTTTGTAGTAATTTTAAATACCTAACAAAATATTCAAGAAAACAGGTTTCCGATGAAATCAAAAAGTCGAGAAGAACTGTAGAATCAAATCCTATATTTTTTAAGAAGTATAAGAAAATACAGTGAGGATTGTAGCCATTATCATGTGAGAGATGATTCCACATTTCTTTTTCTTGGGTCAAGCTTTCAGTAGCTTCACATTCTCTGAAAATGAAGATAATGGTAATCCCAGATTAACAACTTTTTTCAAAGATACTAGTTTTAACAGACATAATTCACATACCATGAATTTACCTATTAGAATCCTTTTAAATTTATGCAACTTTAAAAGATAAAAATTTCAAAATGCATGACTCTCCCCACAAACTATCTGACCCAAGAAAACAAAGTTCACTGACTGCGCCACAAAGTCCTCTGTCGTCCTTTCTCCTGACTTTGGAATTCTTCGTTCTAACAGGTAACCAGTTCCATGTGGTAAAATAATCCCTAAACATCCTTCACCATCCTCCTCAATAAGGGTGGGCACGTGGTCCAGCCTGACCAATCAGAGCACCCTACACTCCTGACCATATGACTGATTCAGACTCTGACCCAAGTGGGCTAATCAGATCTCCCTGTGACTTCTGCTGGTGTTACGAAAGATTTTAACTGTAAGGCTGATGTAAGTTGTTGGTAGTGATGACTAAGAATGAATTCAGAGTTGTGAAAGAAAGAAAAAGAGAAATAAATGATTATATGATTTGAGGCCCAGCACATACAGTTATATCTGATGCCAACTTGAGCCCTTAGAAATGCCAATTATGAGCCACTAAATTCTGTTTTTTGCTCAAGCTAGTTTGAATTTGCTTCTATCATTTAGAACCAAAAAAACTGTATTAATACAACTACATCTGAAAAAAATTTACATGCCTCCCTGGACACACTGAAGTTAAGAAAGTGAGAAAATCATATATAAAGCACATTTAATTCAGAGGTTTCCACTTCCTCAGGAGTAAGAAGCCAACTTTGAGTACAATTAAGATACACTCTTAGAGGCATGTGCATTTACAGACTGAATTTGTATTTGACCGTTTTTTGAACCTAATTCAAATCACATGCAGGAATCTTGTGTTCTTGATTAGGACCTTTTGAAAATTGGCCCCAAACACTTAGAGTTTATAAACAGCCACTGCCAGCAGTGTCATGATACAAGTTAAGTCCTGGCAGCATAATATTGCACCACTGATCATTAGTAAGAAATCCCCTTCTCATAGGCCAAGAAAGAAATGGAAATACAGCAAATACTTTAGGGTTTTAATAAAGCAGAGGCAGAAATAGTGGAAAAGGTCATCAGTTATTAACTTCAAAACCAATTATAGATATTTGCCACAAGAAGCTATTACCCCAAGTACAGCTGTTTTAATAAAGCAGAAACAGAATCAGTATAAAACATCATCAGTAACATAACTTCAAAACCAATTTCAGATACTGGCCTCAAGAAGGCATGAGCCCAAATTCAACTGTATATTAACATGAAAACTCAGAACAACTCCTTTGATTGTTTACAAGTTTGCACTCACCTTTACAAAGGCAAAAATCATCTTATGAAGCTTAATACAGAGGAGCAAGTTTTAGAGGTAAAGAGATCTTAAATGTCAATTAAGATTCAGAGAAGTACACTAACTTACTGGAGACTAAAATGAAACCCCTAGGTTCAGACTCTGTCTAGGTCTACTGCCCCAGATCTGTCCAGCCAGCCAAATTTTGTAGTCATGCAAATGTAATCTCATTTTCAAGTAAGTCAGTGTTAAAGAAAGGAGTTGGAACTTATGAGGAAACCACGGGATGTTCCCCCCTCAAATGATGCAAAGTAAACAATGTGCTCAGCACATTTTCAGAAATGTTTTCTATCTTCCAGACTTGCAGGTAGTCCAATAATTACTTTAAATCTACGAACCTGGTCAGTGTTAAGTAGATGCCCACTGAGGCTTTAGCTGCCTCCAGCATGTCATCGTCTTGTTCTATGAAGACCCTAGACAGCCATTCACATGGATCATGCATTTGCAGAGAGGGCTGAAGATGAGGCTTTAAGAAGGTCAGTAACTCAGACATGAACCTCTGTAAGTCAACTTCAAAAAATGCAAATTTCAAAGTGTAGGCAGCAATTTATGAATGCATTAATAATACCTTGCCTAAATATAAATTCATAGTGTCTAAAGTACCTTAGAATTCACATTTTCAAAAAATCCCGTGAGTTAGGAATTCTGTTTCGCAGATGGGGACACTGAGGCCCAGGGAAAAAAAAAAGTGACTCACCCAAAAGAATACATTTTAAAAATACAGCCAGATTTGCAACTACTTCCAAATAACTAAATGCCTCTTAGAAATAAAGGTTAAGTGATTTCTTGCTAAAAGCAGATAAATAAAAGAGTAGGTATCAGAGATCACTTCATTTGATGTCACAGCTGTCTATTACTAGAGGCAACAATGCAAGCAATCAAAAATAATTTTGCCTTCAAAATAACAGAAAAGTATGGTTTTTGTTTGTTTGTTTAAAGCATAACAAGAAAGTACTATTATAAAGCACAAAAATCAAAAAGGTTTTAGGGAGTTTTAACTGTAATTTAAAACTGCATTATGTAACAGATGCCACCTAGTGTTATAAATTATAACTGCACAGAATTATAACGTGTAGCTATTTAAAGCTAAATGATAGTCAAAGTAATTCAGTGAGTCATTACTCACAATTCAAGCTTTTCATTGAATCTGTATGCTGCTTGTTTAGAGATGTTCACTATGCATTTGTCTCAGGTGAAACGGAAGACATGTCTTCCTCAACACCAAAATTGCAAATCACACTTTACATGGCTTTCTTTCAACTCTTGAGCTAGCATCCTGAAAATTATATGCAATTTATTGATCCATATAACTTTTCATATACTAGTTTCAATTCTAACTGGTAATAATCTATATTAGTACAAATACTAATTTTGTAAAGGATAATATGAATACAATACTACAAATACTTGGATATGAATTGAGTTCTATCACTTTGAGGTGACTCAAAGTTACCTCAAAGGCAACTTTTTTTAAACCTAAGTCATTTGTTACACTTTATTTAAAAAGCTGACATGTTTCTTAAGGTAATTCCAGTCCTTTTTCTTTTGAAAGGAAACTTAATAAATTAAAATGAGGATAACATACAGCTTAAATTGGTTGAATTTATACTAGTCCTGAGATTTGATGAATATGAATTATACTTAAATAAGTAACTACACATTAGCTTGCATAAAAAAAGAAGTTCAGAGAATTACCTTTCATTTCCTTTGCTGAAGTACAATTCTGCAACTTGATTTCTAAGGATTTCATTATAACCAAGCTCACTGCTCCAAGGGTCACGTGATCTGGACCCGAGACATGGTCACATCCAAGCTGAACTTCACCTCCAAAGGAAGGTTTTCCATGAACAGACAGTGTCTTCAACAACCCCAAATTCACAGCTTGCAAGACAGCATTAGCTAGAGCCAAAATGTCCACCTCTAAATGACAGTCTGGTGGCATTAAGGCAGGCATAGGTCCACGGCAGAGGTCTTCACCCACTTTACGGAGAAGGCACTTTTTGATGAATATGATGAATTTCCTTTTGACAAAAGTCTGAATCGGCCAGGTAATAACTTCTAGCACACAAGATGGTTTCAAAAATAAAATCCTCTGGCAAGTGAAATGTAACTTCAGGTAGATTCTGGAGGCTATAAGAAGCTCAAGTAACTCCAGGAAGCACATCAAGCTGCTTATTATTTTAGAAGTATTCTGACAGTTTTCAAAATGTTGAGAAAATAAGGAACTGTAAAATACTTCTAAAACAGTGTCAAAAGGATTCAGGAACTGCTTTAGAATTTCTGCAATTATAAAAAAAAGTAATTATAAACAAATGGACAAAGTCTTCTTAAAACACAATTTTATAATTCAATTTTTGTAAGTATCACTTTATGATTTGGAATGTTTACCTCTAACATTAACAAATGAGGACACAGATTAACAGCTAATAACCACAGGTAATTTACAAATACCAATAGCATCAAACTATACAAGGGATGTAGAATAGTGAAAAGCTTTAATTTTGTTCCTTATTTTTTTTCTTTTTTTGAATTGGGTTTTTTTTTAATTCAGTTGGAGTCACATGCCATCGCCCAGGCTGGCGTACAGTGGCACGCTCGTGGCTACCACAGCTCGACCTGGTGGGCTCAGGTGATCCTTCTATCTCAGCCTTTCAAGAAGCTGGAATTACAAGCACATGCCACCACGCCCAGCTAATTTTTTGATTTATTGTAGAGATGAGGTCTCACCAAGTTGCCCAGGCTGGTCTTGAACCCGTGGGCTCAGGCAATCTTCTCACCTCCATCTCCCAAAGTGCTGGGATTATAGTTGTGAACCACCATGCCCGGCCTTTTTTTCTTTTAAAAAAGGTTATTCTCCATCAAAAAAATATGGTTTAGGTTTTCATACTTGAAGACGGCTTACATGTTTTAAAATAAGTTTTATTAAAATGTTCCTAGAAGCAAGGCGACGATTGTTTATTAAGCAATGTAAGCTGTACCTATTTTCTGTGAACATATATTTTTAAAGATTTCTTTTATTACAGCTGTAAGAGTCCAGAGGCAGTACATTACTTTGTCACTCTCAGAGTATTCAGAAAGATTTTCTTGGCAAAAAGCAATCCAGAAATTACTTAATGTTATCTACAAGCAAGAAGATAAAAAAGGTAGTTATAATACAGCACTTTCTTTACAATTACAAATAGCATATAAACACAAGTATATACAACACTGTTTACTAATTTGCACCCCCCAAAAATATGACAATATGTGGTAAAACAAGGCAAAATAGAAGTATCTTTATATTCTTTAAGATGTCCAATAGGTCATAGAAATAAAAGATCAAAAGGAAGCATGACAACATTAGCAGTGTTATCTCTAGGTGGTGGATGGATGTGTACAATTTTTTTTTATACTTTGTTCATTTTTCAAAAGGACTGTATCACTTTTTATATTCAGAAAAAATGTTATTATAAGAAATAAGTAATTATAAGCTGAAAAGTCAGTAATGCTTAGATGTGTTTATTAACTAATTCCTCTGAAAGAAAATAAAAGAAAAACCTGGTTTTGAATTTGTCTATATTGTTTTTTATTCTGCTGAGGACCATTCTCAGAATTTATATTAAAAACCTGTGAAAATGGGCTTGTTCTCAAGTAGAACTTCCTATACGTTTTTGGGGAGAGAGAAAGTCTACCTACTTCTTTGATAATCTGAAAAAGTTATGGACTCTGACATAAAATTCACCTCTCAAGTTAAGAATATGATTCATGGCTGGGCGTGGTGGCTCATGCCTGTAATCCCAGGACTTTGGGAGGCCGAGGTGAGAGGAATGCCTGTGCTCAGGGGTTTGAGACCAGCCTGGGCAACTTGGTAACAGGTAAGACCTGTCTCTACAATAAATAAAAAAATGAGCCAGGCATGGTGGTGCGAGCCTGTAGTTCCAGTTACTTGGAAGGCTGAGGCAGAAGGATCAAGGCTACAGTAGCTGTGAGCATGCCACCACTCCCTAGCCTGGGCAACAGAGTGACACTCTGACTCAAAAAATAAAATTTTTGATTTATTATGATTTACAACACATTTAGGAGTCTAATCTTTTTTTTTTTTGAGATGGAGTCTCACTCCATCGCCCAGGCTGGAGTGCAGTGGCATATTCACGGCCACCCCAGCATCGACTTGCTAGGCACCAGTGATCCTTCCACCTCAGCCTTCCAGTTATCCAGAACTACAGGCACACCCAGCTAATTTTTTATTTATTGTAGAGACAAGGTCTCACCAAGTTGCCTGGGCTGGTCTCAAACCCATGGGCTCAGGCAATCCACTCAACTCAGCCTATCCACTCAACTCAGCCTCCCAAAGTCCTGGGATTATAGGCTGAGCCACCGAGCCCGGCCAGGAGTCTAATCTTGACACAAGCTATCATCATATTCCATTCTTAAAATTTTGTGGATTTTCATGTTATTATGTCAGCAAACATTTTGTTAATACACATATTTTAAGGGTAAAATCAAATGCCAAAAAGCAATTTTAAAGAAACTATTAAGAGAAATAATATCATAATTTGATTACTTATCTTACCTTTTCTCTCAATTGAAAATATAGAAGCAATGCAAGGCACTTGGCAGCCATGTGGGATAACAATTTATCAGAATTTTGGAACATACAGATCTATAGAAAAACAAACACATTGACCATTATTGCTGAGCATTTTTAAAACTTTTATTTTAAATATCTAGACCTTTAAAAAAACAAACAAATGGCTTACTAATTTAGAGTCAAGTACAGCTGACTCTAAAAGAATTTTAATTATATCTCTGTATCTCTTCTTTGCATGGAACTCCGTTTCAACAGACAATATCCTGGCTGTCATGGTGTTGATCACTGTTAACTGAAGGAGCGTTACTTCTCTGGCACCGCTCATTTGAGAATTCATCTTCAAACATACTGGTGCCACACGACTCAAAGGCGCACCAACAGAGGGTGGCCAGTGCTTGCCCTGGACACCAAAGGTGCTTGCCCATTTTAAGGAGGTGGTTGTAGAGCAATCTTGGTCTGGAAATGCTGGCATGAGATAAAAGATGTAATCATGGCTCTCATTTTCAAGTGTGGCTCCACGAAGTACCTTCTTGTATAATTGTTCTAAAACTTCACAGAAAGCTTGCATAGTGATTTCCAAAACGTATCTTATGAACAACTCCAAGTTGTAAATATTAAATCTTAGAAGTACAATGAATCTCTAAGACGTTTCTTCAGTGAAACCTGAAACAGGAAAAGTAATTTAAAAATTCAAAGTGCTATATATACACTTATTACAAGGGAAAGCAACTGTTCCACTTAATTACTAAGCCAAGTGAAAGGGAATGCTGACTGCTTAATTTCTAAAGTGAAAAATCATAATGAGAATATTACTTTAAGACAATAACAGTGAAACCATACAGGTTTAAAAACATAAAATTATTTTTAATTTCTCATACCAGAAACTTGAGCTTTCTTCTAACATTTTTCAATGGCCGCCCACGTTTCTGAACTGGGAGTATGAACATCTGAAGCAGATAACTGCCTTATGCGCTGTCAGGTTATTTAGCAGCATTCCTGATCTCTATCCTCTGGAGGCCTAAATGCTCTCTACCTCGTCTGCCAGATTCTGACAACTAAAAAGGTCTGCAGACATTGTCAAACGTCCCTTGGGGGACAAAATTACCCCAACTGAGAACCAATAGGTTAACTCAAATTCACTAATCTTCATTCTAATTTACAGATAAAACCCTAAAGTTAGATTGCTCTATGGTTAAACTGTATCATGGCTCTGGCTGATTAAATTCCAACTTAAAACTGTATGATATGGCCATCACCCATAACATTAAATAAAAATAAATGCCATCCCAAGAAAAAGACAAGATGTTAAAACAACTGCAATCAGACATGAGCAAACTGTACTTGTAGCTGGATGCAAATGTAAACATCTGGTTGTCCTGGACCTCTCTGATATGATGAGGACCAGGCAAAGGGTAGGGACATTTAGGGGCAGACATGGCTTTTAAAGCATGGAATATGAGAAATAAGAAGACAGATCAATGTCAGAGGAAGCATATAATTACTTTAGCGGGAGCATGGAAAGGAAACATTTAAGATCCTAGCATAAGCAAAACTGATTACTGAATATTCTTTCAGTGGAATGCTGGAGCCTCTGGGAAGTATCTGATCCTCATAGGAGGGTGGGGCTTGCTCCTTTCTTTGCTTTGGAGCTATTCTACACCTCTAAATCATGGATAACAGATATCAATGCAAATAATTCTTGTCCAGAGATATGCAAATAACTGTTTGGTGGAGGGGCAACCCTCCTCACAGTGGGAAAAGCATTTTGCTTCCATTTGCAAACTCATTTAACATTCTTTCACTCCATACAGATTCGTGGTTCTCTTACTATTCCTTTAAATGAGTAGTGCCCGGTTCCCTTATTAATTAATTAATGAGCTAAATAAAATATTTGATACGTGGTTATTTTATATGGGTCATGATTTTGTCCTCTTGAAATTTACCCTTTAACAAAATCCACAGACTTCCCTACTCTAGCCAACCCATTTATATATAACAGTCCTTCCCATCTTTAACCTCCTTCCTCATAGAAAAGGAGGTCAAAGGGCTTCAATGACACTGGATCTCACTTCTACAATGTGGCCCACTAAACTCAGCCTCGGTCTTTAACTCTGAATATTTTTGATCTGAGGTTTTTTGAATCCCTGGATGCAGAACCCATGGATACAGAGGGCTGACTATAATTCCACTGAAGCTGCAGAATCAAAAGGCCTGCAAAGTAATCAGACCTTCAGGGGTCTCTGACCTTGGTTAATGATCATGAGATTTCCTGGGATCAGTGACATGGTTTTGTGGAACTGAATTTCCAAACAAAACAAAGTGCAGTCATTCCTCAGTATCCATGGGGGACTGGTTCCAGGACTCACGGAGGATACCAAAATCTACAGATGCTCAAGTCCTGTGTATAAAATGGTGAAGTATCTGCATATACCTTATGCACGTTCTCCTATACACTTTAAACTATGTCTAGATTACTCATAATTAACACTGTACAATATAAATGGGATTTCAATAGTTGTTATATAGTATTGTTTAGGGAATAATGACAAGAAAAAAAATCTGTACATGTTCAGTATAGCTGCAGTTTTCTTTTTCCCCAAATATTTTTGATCTGGGGCTGGTTGAATCCACAGACACAGAACATGAATACAGAGGGCCTACTGTGTTCTCAGTAGCTCCCCCAAACCCAGCAACTTCTCATGAAAAGTCAAACTATCTACTTTTCCTACTAGGGTATCAGTTCATCAACCTCAAAGGCACTATGAATAAGAGTGACTAAGACCCTGGCTTTACTTCCTATACAAAAATTATCCCAGAATGCTCCACAATTGCAAAACTTGAAAATAAAGCTTATGGAAACAAACTTGAAAACCTTAAGGAAATGGAGGACTTTCTGACATCACACAACCTACCTAGGTTGGAACAAGAAGAAATTGAGACCCTAAATAGACCAATAACAATCAAGCTTATAGAAACAAAGTAAGTTTGGGCACAGTGGCTCACACCTGTAATCCCAGCACTTTGGGAGGTCAGGATGGGAAGATCGATGGAGGCCAGGAGTCTGAGATCAGCCTGGGCAACAAGCTTGACCACATCTCCACAAACAACAACAACAAAAAAAATTTTTTAATGAGCCAGGTATGATGGTGCAAGCCTGTAGTCGCAGGTACTTGAGAGGTTGAGGTGGGAGGACTGCTTGAGCCCAGGAATTTGGATTACAGTGAGCTATGATTACCACCACTGCACTTAAACTTGGGCTAGGAAAATAACAATAATAATAAATAACTTTTTTTCAAAAAAGTAGGAAACATCTTAGGGATCTAAGGCTAGGAAGAGAATTCCTAGACTTGACTCCAAAAGCAAAATCCATAAAAGTAAAAACTGATAAACTGGCCCTCAACAAAATTAAAAACTTGCTCTGCAAAAAACTTGAGGATAAGAAGCCAAGCTACAGACTGAAAGAAAATATTTGCAAAGTACATATCTGACAAAGGGCTAGTATCTGGAGTATATAATTCTTAAAACTCAACATTAGAAAAATATTCAATTAGAAAATGGACCTGAGATATGAACAGACATTTCCTTGAGGAGGATATGGAGATTGCAAATAAGCACTCGAAAAGATGTTGAGCCACATTAGCCATTAGCAAAACTCAAAACTAGGATGAAATACCATCGTCAGAATAGCTAAAATCAGTGACGCCAAGTGCCAATGAGAACACATGCTGAGAAACCAGATCCCTTTGGCACTGCTGGTAGGAATGTAAAAATGGTAAAGCTACTCAGGAAAATAGTTTAACAGTTTCTTAGAAAATAAAAGATGCAACTACCATCTGACCCAGTAACTACAAAGGCAAATATTTTAAATCTCCGAGATGATTTAGACCAATGGTTCTCAAATTCTAGAATCAGAACTTCCTGAATGGCTTGTTGTAATGAAAATGGTTGGGCCCACCCCCAGAGATTCTGATTTAGTGAGCCTGGGAGGACCCAGGATTTGAACCAGGGGCTACACTTTGAGAAACACTGACCAATCTGCTTAATTCTACTGAAGAGATTTCTGAGCTCTTTAGGTTTATATCATATTATGCTAATGCTAAGCACTACTTAAGAAATGGAAAACCTCCAGTGTATTAATATGAAAAACAAAACTTTTCTACCCTTAATTGCTAAAATTTGATTCTTCCTGTTAAGTGGTGCTTCAGAATCAAATGTTTCACTGAAATCTTTTCTTGACTCATTCCCCTTTACCAGTGTGTACCTTTTCCCTTTTCCACATTCCCTGTGAAAACCAGTGGCAGGGTAGGGTTTAGGGACTGACTATCTACAGATGTGGTACTACCCAGATTTTACCAAACTCCTAAATTCTGTATATACAGAAAAGACTTGATTTTCAATTGATAAAATAAGATTACTAGCCAGGTGCAGTGTTCGCACCTGTAAACCCACTTGGGAGGCCAAAGCAGAAGGATTGCATGAGGCCAGGAGTTCGAGACCAGCCTGAGCATATAGCAAGACTTTGGGCTTACAAAAAAAAAAAAAAATTACCTACCTATTTCAGCAAAATAGCATTCCTTCAAAGAGTTGCAAAAAAATACATGGCTTATATGGTAAAAACATTTATGAAACATAAGAAAGAAGATGTCAACACTCCTTCAATCATTAATCTTGAAAGGCTCCTTCCTGCCTTTGGGCCTTGATACACTGCTGTTCCTTCTGCCTAGAAAGTTCTTCCATCCACTTTTTCCTTTTGTTTTAAGCTTAAATATGACTTTCTCTGGCAAGGTTAGGTCTTCCTGTGATAACCCCAGTCTCACCTGTGATCTGTCTTACAGAATGTGTTAAAACTAGACTTAAAAATCTGCGATGATTTCTATGTGTCTCCTGTGTGAGACTGTGAACTCCCCTAGAGTTGACTGCTTGGTTCATTACTTCATCCCCAGTGCCTAGCACAGTACCTGGTACACAGTAGGTACTTCTATCTGTTGAAGATATTCCTGGGCGAAGAGAAATTTAGTAGTGTATATATCTAAAATTATTATAAGATCAGTCTGAAAGTTTATTTTAATATTGTTGTGATCTCAAATTTTATAAATGCCATGCAACTTTTAATTTCTGAATTTTAAGTTACAATACAAATTTTTTGTCAAAAAATTATAAGTACAGTAGTATCCATAGCAGGAACTGAGTTCTGAGCTCATTCAGTCTTTACCATATTATATGTTCGACAATGTGCTCAGGGCACACACTGAAGTCGCATCTTAAAATGGTTGTGGTAAAGTGCAAATTAAGACCATCCTAGAAGAAAAAATATCCTTCAATTACCAGGACAGGAGCTACAAGGAACTCAAAAGCTGCCAGCAGCTTCCTTTCTTTCAGCAGCCTTTTTGCTAGAATGGTAGGACCAAGGTTTAAACAGTCTCTTGGGCAATGGTCCTTGACCACTCTGAAATCACTAGCACACTACGAAAAATCCCAGAGCTCTGGACTCCCTGAACCAACTGAATCAGAATTGTTGTGGCGGGACTTGGGCATTTCTTCAATGATAAGACTTTTTCTACTCAAGGAATAAACTCTATTCTGGCTGAGTCAGAGTTTTATGACTTAAACTTCATAAATATTTATTCTAAATGATTTCATTTCTATGTTGCAAGATTAGTATTTCCATTTTCATGAATTTATTACATAAGTGATGAAGCATGTCTACTAAAACCTAATCAGTATTAACTTGTTAAAAATATTCTGCAATCTAAACTGCTTAAAGTCAATGAAAAGTTATAATAATTAACAAATCTGATAGTACTAATTCAATAAAGCAATTAGAATTATGCTAATTCTATTCTGTGAAATTTTGGCAATAGGATATTCCTTGGTTATGACACAATCATATCTTTCAATCATTTGCAATAATACCGTTGTAACTTGAACACAAGATTTTAAGTGAAAAACAAATATGGAAGAGCTGGGAATTAGGAGGCAATTCAGTTATCAGGCTCCTAAGAGCCTGAGAAAGAAATTCTTCACTAAGAAATTCTTCAACTTTCATCTCTTCGTTGAGCCAGCACTTAGCAAACATGCTATCTGAGCTGAATGAGGCTAAGGCTGTCATAAGACTGAATACGTTCTCTGTAACTATTTACATATGTATTTATTCCTTTATCTTCCTCTCTTTCCTTCTTTTGGGAATCCAAAATAGCCTGATTGCATAATTAGTATGTCTTATACAACTGAATTTGTAAATCACATTAGAACTGCTAAAAATTTTTCAACAAATTTACTTTAAAGATCGAATTGACTTTTTTTTTTAGCAATTCATGAATTGGGCAGCATCTCATCTAAAGATTTAGAAAAGGTGCTCTGGATTAGCTGAGCAGAGGAGATAAGTTCTTTAAGCAGAAAAGGGCTGAAGAAGGCAAAAGAGAACAATAAGTGGATTGGCCATTTCAAATTACTTTCCTTATTGGGTTAAAACAGAGGATAGATATCCTTTTCATGGTGGTTGAGGTAAACTGGGCTCCCTGCTGATTTCTTTGCTCTGAATCTCTTGTTCTTTAGAAAACCGGCCCATTTCAAAGTTTAGTTTGGTTACATGGCATCTACCACTAGTGACTCCATTGTTATTTGGTCTTGCCTGTTGGGCCTAGAACAGGTGTTTAGTCTAAAGCAATGGCCTCCTACACATTTCATTTAACAATACTAATATCACTTTAAACTTATTTTTTTACATTGGAGTCCCACTGTTAAGAAAAAAAAACAGGAAGACACAGTAAGACTTTAAAAACTGTTGTCTACAAACATAAAACAACACTTGATAAACTTACAATTTCTCTAAATTCATTAGCTAATATAGTCATACAAAACAGACTGACTTTAGATTATACTTTGGCTTCTGAAAGAGGGGTTTACACAGTAATCAATGCCACATATGACTTTTTAACAAATGTTACTAAAAAAATTAAAACTAGACTACAAAAAATATACAAACGAGCCTCCTGGTTACATAAATACAACAACAACCAACAAAACCCAATCCAACAAAACTCTAAAATTCAATTAAAAACATGATGTCTTCCATCTGTAAGTTCCTTCCTCCACTAGCACCCTAGTAAAAGCCCTACTACTTTTAATTTTCAGATCTTGTCTTTTTAACCTTCTGGTCAAATTTATGTCTTCTAAATTCCAAAAATCCCATCTCCAAATAATGTTACAGCAGGAATTTCACCCTGTCTTTTCAGAGGAGCTGGCCCTCAACTGCCCACTTGATCAAATGATCATCAGATTCCACAACTATAACAACTATAAAACAACTATAAAACTCTACACCTATCACCCTAATCTAAAACAACACAAAGGTTTAGACCCAATAGACAGGGTCAGTGCCCACTCTCAACATAAAACAACTACGAAAGATTGACCTCCATCCCTCAACTTCCCTAAAAGATTTTAGTGTCCAAACTTCTTGAGGGGGCTATTGATAGAATAGACAGGTTAGACTAGGGAACTTGAGGATTGTAAAAAAGTTTCAAGTCTATTAATGTCTACAACAATACAAAACCACACATACAAACAAGGCAGCTTAGCTATTTAAAAAAAAAATCTTCACATCTACCTAACTCCTAGACTCTTATCAGATACTCCTGCAGCATAGTAGTCTTTCTATCCAGGATGCTTGTGGTTGAGAGCCGACCACCAAGGCAAAAATTGACTTAGAGACCACCTGGAACATACATATCAATAACCAGGGTTAATCCAAAATAATCATGACCTATTTTTACCTTCATTATAACACCATCAACATAAAATTACCCTAGGGAAGCCTCCACTCCCGTCATACACCTGATGCCATGACTATAGCAGTATAACCCTAAAAGGCCTAAGTCTCCTCCTGCTCAACATGAAAAAAGAGTAACAGTAACCCAATCCAAAGACCAATCAATTCTAGGAAAAGCTCACCCCAGGACACACCCTTCAGTACTCCTGAAAATACAAGTTATAGCTCAATAATAGTTTAGACACAAAAACAACTTCTGCCCACTATCCCTTCTTGAGAGCACTATTCTTTACTTAATAAAATTACTCACTTGTCACATGACTTTGTGTGTCTATTTACAAATTCTTTCCAAACTTAAAAACAAAAACTCGATTGTCAACATCAACCCACCATCCCATGCCGGTAGCTACACCCCTTCCCACGGTAACAAAGGTAGAGTTGAAAGTTCAAAAATGACTACAATTTAAATGTCCTCAATACAGCTTGTTTCTAATTATAGTACAACTTTCCACTTCAAGGAGAAAGAAAAATTTAGAAAGTTGACATTATGATATATGATCGCTGAAAAGTATAACGGGCTAAAATTAAAGTAGCTGATTCTATCCTCACTGCAACTACTGAACTTCTACTCTAGCCAACTGCAACAGATCCCTTCTTAAGTGGGTGTATCTTGGCTCACCCTACATCCACTTGCTTCTGAAAAATTTCTCCACTTTCCTTAAAATAAAGTCCACACCCCTAAACATCGTTTAGAGGGCCCTTAAAGAACTGACTCTTCGGGTATTCTCACCTATGTGCCCCAGCCCCCAATCTCATTACCAATCATTCCCTCCCTTATTCTGCTTCAGATACCTTGACTTTCATTCTTGCAATTCCTGTAAACAGCAAAGTTTATTCCAGCATAGAGTCTTTGTACTTCAGATTCTCCCCATATTGTAGCATGGGAAGCTCTTTGTCATTCAGACCGCCACGCTAGTCCTCGAAGCTTTTCCTGACTACCTGTCTTAGTCCGTTTTCTGTTGCTTATAACAGAATTTCTGAAACCGAATAATTTACAAAGAAAAGGAATTTCTTTCTTACAGTTTTGGAGACTGAGAAGTCCATGGTTGAAGAGCCACATCTAGTGAGGACCTTCTTTCTGGTGAGAACTCTGACAGTCCCGAAGAAGCATTGTAGAGCATCACACGCCGAAGGGGCTGAGCATGCCCCCATGTTAGCCTATCCTGGGTCTCTCTTTCTCTACCCAAACCACAGCACTACTTAACCAAAATAGCCTACCATATTCTACTCCAAGTCAAGCCCATGATCCTGCTTGATTTTCTTCTTATAACCTAACTCTGGCTCATAATTTTGTGTTTGTGTTCCCTGAATATCTCCCCGACGACCAGAAGAGTAATCACTCGCTAAATGAATAAATGCACTTAATAAATATGCCTTGATTAATCCTCCTCGCATTTCCTCCACTCTCCCTTTCTCTTCATTCACAGGAATCCGTGAAGGTCGCTCTCCCTGCAGGAAAGCCCCATGACCGGCATCGGCATCCCAAAGAGTTTCTCGCTCCACGCCGGGCGAGGCACTCCCAGGCTGGATGCTACCCGGCTCTCAGGGTCCGAGTCGCGCCCAGGAACCGGCACCTGCGTCTGAGAAGCGCTGAACCCGGTGGCGGGAAGGGCGCCCCTCCTCGTTTCCCCATGACTGCCGTTTCCCCAACTTCAAGCCCGGGACCCGTCCTCGGCCCGCCGCACTCGCCCTCCCCAGCCGCAGAGCTCAGCGGCCGCTCCCGGTTACCTGCCTGGGACCTGGCTCAGGACACGCAGCCTCCACACCGCCATTCGTGCGCTCACTGGTCCTCTCCGGGCCACCGTAGTTCACGGAACGTCCAAGCTGGTCCGCCCCTCGCATGCGCAGAGGCTCGTTCGGCAAGTAGTGTCTCTTAGCAACCGCTTGGAGTCCCCCTGTCAGGGGCGGAGCCTCGGAAGCCGCGGCGGGGAAGTGAGTGTGACCAATCGGAGACAAGTCCCAGTCCCGGTCGACACGCCTTCCCTAACTGTCGCGAATGCAGAGGCCGCTTTACGGCAGGCAGGGGGTAGGGGCTGGCGGGGCTAAGGAGGAGAGAAGGAAGCAACCAACCAACCAAGTCGCCCCCGCCCCCCACCCCCACCCACCCCGGACCTGGTTTACGGCTCCAGGCTCAGGCTCCACGGCGACCGCTGATTGGCTGCTGAAGGCTTGGTCCCATCCCAGTGACCCCAAAGTGCTGGAGGGAGGGGGCGGGGGTGGCCCAGTGCAAAGTGCATCCCGTAAGCCCCCTGTCCGGCTACCCCACGGCTGGCACTTCGGACTTCGTATGACCTGGGACCTCGCTGTCCCGAGACCTTCTAGGCCCCTCTGTAGCTGGAAGCCTCCGGGCCGGAGCGCGGTCGTCCCCTGTTCCGAGCCCCTGGACCGGGACTACCCCCCCACCCGAGCTGGGACTTCCTCCCTGCACCCCTGCCCGAGGCTGCCCGCGCCCGGGACCGCCACCGCTCGCCTGCTTGACTGTCTGGATGCTCTTTGGGCTGGGGCCGTGAAGCATCAAGGAGTATCAGGAGCACTAGGGTCCGGCCCTGCCTGGGGTATTTCTTCAATGGAGAAGTTGGCGAGTGTGGAGGAGGCTGGAAAAGAGGAAGAGAAGCAGCAGCTGAGGAGACAGGTAAAGTCAGTTACCTCTCCCAAGGGGAAGAGAGCTGGCTGGGAGGGTAGGAAGGAGGAGAACCTGCTCCTTCCTGCCTGCCCTTGGCACTCTCCAGCCCCTTCCACAGCCTCCCCTTCTTCAGAGCCCCCTCCTCCTCGCCCCTGAGGCACTGTACCACTCAGAGATTTCTGGTCTCCAGGTTTGAGCTGGCTGGAGGAGACACGGGAGCAGGAAAGGTTCTTCCCACCCACCAGAGAAGCAGAACGCACTGTGCCCTGACCAGCATCCTCTGTAAAGGTAACGAGCCAGCCTTCCCCTCCCCCATTATTTGTTCCCGGCCCCTACCTCTCTAGGCAGTGCTTTATTTTCAGGGTGGTTGCCTGGAAATGCACCCTTTCCTAGCCCCCAGGTAACTAGCAAAACAAAAACTGCCCCTGCCTGATGCTTAACATTTTAATAACTTCTCTACCCCCAAAACGTATATTCCCCGTTTCTCTCTGTATACTGTGTTTCTGTATTTTGCATTATCTTTTGGTACATTGTGCCACTTATTCTGCTTTGAGACTTTGAGACCTTTTTGTAGCTCCCCTCGCTTGCCTTATTCTCATAGGAATTCCTCAATTCCTTGTTAATTGCTTGTTACTTCTGAAAGACTCTGCTTTTTAATTAAACCACATTTTTACTGTTTCCCCCTTATTCCTTCCCATCACCTTTCCTCTACCTGCATCAAAAAATCTTTTGAGTTACGCAACTGACAACGGTTTAGTAGAGGAAGGTAAATTAATGACTTGAAATTTATGAGTTTCAGAAAATAGTTTGATTTTATTCCCTAGTGGAACATGAATCTGTGTACCTTAATAGCGTGAATGGTATGAAGGCAATATTAGGCCCTGAAGCACTTACGTATAAGTAACTTGTTGGGTTTTTGTGTGTTTGGGACAAATGTAATGGGCCCTGCAACTAAAAAAGGTACACATATTTATTACACCTCAGATTTTCTAGTGTTTTGTTAGCAGTCATTTAACTCTCAATAATTTAAAAACAAAGAAACCTTTTGGTGTGTTTAGATATCTGGGGTTTAATTATGGCACTCTTCATAAATAAGATTTTTATTTCAAAACTCTTACAGAGATTTTGCTAGATTGAAATTTAAGCATCTAATTCGTGTCACATTTCTGTTGCCTTATTTTATTGCTGCTTCTGAAAATGCAGTAAAGGTAAGTTTGGGACATTATGTAATTCTAAAAGAGGGGATATGACCACGGAAATTATACAAGAGTTAATTCCAAAATTAGCCACATGAATGACTTTTCTAACATCCAGTAGTGAGAGTATAAATTGACTTGTTAATCTCTGAGTTATTTTAATGTCTCAGATTGTTTGGGGAATTTTTTTTTTTTTGAGTCAGGGTCTCTCTCTGTTGCCCAGGTTGGAGTGTGCTGGCACATTCAGGGCTCACCACTGCCTCAACTTCCTGGGCTCAGGCTATCCTTCCATCTCAACATCCCAAGTAACTGAGACTATAGGCGTGCACCCACACACCAAGCTAATTTTTTTTTTTGTAGAGGTGAGGTCTTGCTATATTGCTTAGGCTGGTCTTGAACTCCAGGGCTCAAGCAGTCTACCTGCCTTGGCCTTCCAAAGTGCTGGGATTTCAGACTTGAGCCACTCACTGTACCTGGCCTGTTTAGGGAATTTTTGATACAAATAAATACTTAAAATAGCATAGGCTAAGATTTTTTTGTTTCCTCTGTTCCACTGAATTTTATGCCCTCTACAAAAAGAAAATATCTTTATTGAGTCTATTAATTCTCAAAGCATAGCTAAAGATACTGTTAAGGAGATCTCAGGGTTTACATATTCTTGAAACCTGGAAGTGGATGCCAAATGGAGAGATTCCACTGAATGGAATTTAGAATCAGTGTCTACCAATGGCTATTCTCTGATGAAAATTTAGGACAGTCTTTATATATATATATACTTGACCATTTCATTAAAAACTAAGCAGAAGTCTTAAAAGTTGAGGGCTAATTTTTATTGTTTAAGTATGGAATTCACCAGAGAGATGCCTAATGATTACTTTAGAACTTTTTTAAAATGCTGAAATATTTGAAGTATGCTGCTTTTTGTTTTTTGTTTTTTGTGTTTGAGTTAAAGTCTCACTCTGTTGCCTGGGCTGAAGTGCAGTGGTACGCTTATGGCTACCACAGCCTCAACCTGCTGGACTCAGGTGATCGTTCCACCTCAGCCTTCCAAGTAGCTGGAATTACAGGCATGCACCACCATGCCCAGCTAATTTTTTGATTTATTTTAGAGATGAGGGCTTGCCAAGTTGCTCAGGCTGGTCTCGAGCCCATGAGTTCAGGCAATCCTCTCACTTCGGCCTCCCAAATTGCTGGGATTGTAGACGTGAGCCACTGTGCCAGGCCTTGAAGTTTGTTTTAAAGATAAAAACAAAGTGCTGTATATCTTATAGCTAAGCCTTCTCAGTTCCGTTTTTTGTTTTTTTTTTGTTTGTTTGTTTTTTACGCTTTAGATTTAACCCTAGGATGTTTTCATATGAGGGGTATTTTCACCTAAGATGGTAAGGGAGGCCTCTGGAGCTATTCAAGTCTGTAAAGTAAGAGAAGACACTTCTCTTCCCAGGTTCCCAGCCAGTTGATTCTCACTGCATAAATAGTATTTCATTGACCTCTCATATTTAAATGATTTTTCTAAGATTAGGAATATATGTAAACTGTCAGCATCTGTATATATCTAATATTAGCATGATTAAGAGTATTTGGTGTAGGTTATGCCAAACATTTAAAATATTTAATCTGGATATTTATTTACCAACATGGCTAGAAAGTTTGGCACTTAATTTTGTGTTAATTTTGTTGCCAGTTACATGGTTTTAGAAAAAAAAGTTATTCAGTTTATTCAGTAACCAATCATAGATTTATAATTTAATAGGAGAAATAATTGATTTAGTTGAAGATATATGATAATGAAGATGAAGATAATTAAGCATCTTTAGTGTGCTATGGCCAATATTTATTGTACTTAAGTTGATGTTATTTATAATTATTTAGTATAATGACATATACCATTTGTCTTTGTTCACATTTGATTTTGGTGGCAGAGAGGTACATACCATCCTTAAAACGTCTGAAATCAAATGTAGTTTCTATTAACATATCTAATACCTGACTTTCATGCTTTCATTTCATTCTCAACTAAATATACTCCTTAAGTAGAATGATTGTCTCCTTTCTTGCAAACTTTCTAGGCAAAGATGAGGCTGCTATGATGATATTGGCAGACATGAGGTTAATTGGATAATATTGACAAGACCTCATCATTTATATTACTTGTGATTTAAGCTCTTAGTTGGGTCTGGCTAAGTGAATTCTAAAATTTTCTCTATTGCCTCATTCACACTTCATGAAAATTACTGGTTTTTCTGCTGTAATCTGTGTGAATTATGGATAAGTTGTGCTTGGTAATAAATCCTTATGCTATATGGAGGTACGGTAATTTGAAGGAAATACTAATACCTTATTTGTTTTAGAACATAAATACTATGCTATGTTGATTGATACTAGAATAATAATGTATTTTGGGCTCTTGATCATATCAGTAGAGCCTGTCAGTGTACATCTGAGCCATGTTGCATGTTTTGGTTGGGCCTCTTAGTGTTTCGGCATCTACCTTCCCTCTTAGGTGAGCCACTGGTAGATTTTCTTTGTCCAATATCCTTGGAGTTGCTGATTTTATTTTCTTATCAGCACGTATCTTTGTTTACTTTGCAAATAAATGCTTATTTCATCTTTTGAGTATCAAACCAATAGCTTGCTTCTAGTTTGTGCGAAATCAGAAAGCACAGTTCTAACTTGTATTGCTTAATTTAAAAATGTGTGGACATTTTAAAATTAGGCCGGGCTCGGTGGCTCAGCCTGTAATCCCGTGCTTTGGGAGGCCGAGGTGAGTGAATTGCCTGAGCCCGCGGGTTCGAGACCCGCCTGGCCAACTTGGCGAGACCTCATCTCTACAATAAATCAAAAAAATTAGCCAGGAAGGCTGAGGTGGAAGGATCGCCAGAGCCCAGCAGGTTGAGGCTACAGTGGCCGGGAGCGGCCACCGCACTGCAGTCTGGGCGACTAAGTGAGACTCCAACTCAAAAATAAATAAATAAATAAAAATAAAAAAAATAAAATTAATAGTGAAAATAACATGTAAAAAGCCATTAATGTCTAATCATGTTAGAGGAAATTGGGGAAATGTCAAATTTGGTGAAGATTATATAATTTTGGGCAGGTCTTAAACATATTTGTTTTATGTTTATTCTTCACTCAATTTTATCAGTACTGATTTTTTCTTTTAACTATGTGAAGCAAGAAGTTTTAGTTTTAATAAATGGAGTTCACTGGGCATCACATGGAAGTTAAGTGGCAATGTATTTTAATTTCTAAGTTTGTAGTTTCTAATATGGTCAACAATACGAGAGCGTGGAAGCCTAGATTGTTTTATTTTGACCCCATTGACAGTGGGAAAGAAAGTCATTCTTGTTTGTGTTCCTTTTTTTTTTGCTTTTTTCTGCCTGTGAATCCTAGAATGGAATTTCTAAAGATTGCGCCCTCAGAGAACCAGTAGTTCCTAAGTCCACAAGTCATCATTAATTGGAGACAACTTACACTGAACATACGTTGCTCAGGAAATTACTTCCTTTACTATGTTCTTTTATTTTATAGGTGATTTCGATGAGCTACCAGATTTTTAAACTTTAACTACCTGAGGGGAAATAGACTTTTTTCCGTTCTCATCTCTGGACTTCTGTGTTTTTTTTAAATAGGTACATTTACTGCTGGATACTTTACCTGCTTTTAAGTTCAGTAGACTTTTTCCCTCTTTATTTATGCATACCTGAGTAGCTATATGCTATTAGGTGTAGCACTCATAAAATAACTCCAAGAGAAAATGAATTGCTTATCTGATGGTTTGGACTATTTTGGGCTCTTTTGGTAATAAATCATTTTCCTTCATAATTCAGAGTAATGCAGCTGACAGGGATCATGTGTGCAGGACACGTATGTGTATGTTTTTTTCTGGTGAAGATTGATGCACCAGTACATGCAAGTACAAAATGTGCTTTTTTGGTTAAAACCTGTGATTATTATTTATAGTGCTTAGTATTATCAGAAAAAAGAAAAATAATCTTAAAACTTCTAGGAATTTTAAAAATTCCTTTTAAGTATGCAGAACTCTCTATGAAATGCCACCCAGAGTTGCTACCTGTGGCCAAGGCATACCACTGTGCCAAGAACACACCAACTATCCTGATGACGCTCATTTGTCTGGCTGAAGTAGCTCATATGGAATTGTCAGATATTACTGTTGTTTGTGCATCTTTCTTGTGGGGAGAAATTAGTCACTTCATCTTTTGCCACCAAGTGTTTTCTTGATATTATTAATCAATTAATATGATTTTATATTCTTATATCCTCCTCCCTGTCAATCCTAGCCACCTCCTTGTAAGTGGTGATGTGTAGTTGGAAGCCAACACCACCTCCACAGGGATTCTTGCAGACTCAGGACCACGTTTTTGGACCATTTCCTCTTTTCTTGGGAGTCAGGGGTGCTAAGGACACATTTAGAAGTAAGGTGCCCAGTGATGTTCATTCTTGAAATGTCGAAGGAGCTCGTAAAAAATGATGGCATGTCCATGTGTGGAAATGTGTGTCATCATTGGAGACATTGATTTGCATTTTAAAAATAAGCTTTATTTTAATATAATTTCAGCTGTACAGAGATTTACGAAGATAGCACACAGAGTTCCCACATACCTCAGACCCAGTTTTCCCTATTCACACTTTACCTTACCTCCTGGAGGGGAAACTGTCTACATAAGCAAACTATTTGGAATTTTGAGTAAAAGATTTATCATTTTCCCCCCTTTATTTGTTCAGTCACTTATTTATATCAGTATGGACTCGTTGGTATTTATTTTATACTTTGGGTTATAATCAATGCTGTTTTAAATGTCTTGTTGCTCAGATTGCTCCATCTTTGGCTCTCGAGCTCTTGCTGTTGTCTCCTGTGTCCCTTTGGCATATCCCATCATGGTGTTTTTCTTTAAGCACTTCCTTCTTTTATCAAACTTACTATGCTCCCAGGCTCATCTTCTCTATTTCTTACCCTAATCTTAGAATCAGCCATTTCCATAGGATCATTCTGCATGTTTGACAGCTTGCCTTGTAGGAGTTGTTCTCATCATATCCACTTCATTTATTTACAAATATGTAGAGTTTTCAATCAGATTTCATTTCCAAATGCAAGTTGGCAAAGTCTTTATTTTCCTTGAAGAAGTTTGGCAAGAAAAAATAAGATATGAAAAAGGGGAAAAGGTAGAAGTAGACTTTACTAATTCACATGCATTGAAAATTGTTGTGTGCATTTAGCAGTACCTACAACTGCCATGTTTTTCTTGCTGTATGTCAGGGTGCCAGGTGATCAGACTTTTCCTTGTCTGAAGGTTTAGGTGGTGGAGAACTTAGGACACCTGCCACCAGGGGATGGATGGGGTGACAATTCTCCTAGCACGTAACTCCTAGAGTGATTCTGGTGTGATGTGTGGAAGTCTTTCTGCGTATGCCCTTAACCTTCATGGAATTTACAGAGTGAGGACTGAATTGACATGGAGAAAGAGCCTTCTGTGGCTTATTTTATTTTATTTTATTTTATTTTACTTAGCTGTAGAGAATTTTTTCAGAACTCATATGGGGAAGCTGGCCAGAGTATTGTTAATGTTTTATGTAGTTTGGGGTATGAATAAAGGAATAAACAATTTGAAAATGATTCACTTGATTCCTTTAGGGCATATGAAGGACTACCATTTAAAGACAGTCTCCTTTTAGTTGTCATAGATTCCATTATGACCTGGCCACCTACTGTATTGAATGCATACATGTTCTCATTTTAGTCCTGTTTAGAAAGAGCAGGTGACTAATAGTGTCAGTTAAAAAACAATTCAAATGAAGCAAGTTTGAAAATATATTCTCAGTAAAGGAAAAAGAAGAATCTGTGCTTGTATCTGAATTTCAAATGTATGATTTATTGTTTTCTTTATTTACTCTTTTTCAATCAACTGCATTTTGGGGAAAAAATTCTGAAACTAAATCATATTTATTGGCGATGAGTGTATGTAATGAGATGATTTTCTCTAAGTTCTTTCTCTGCTAAACCTAGACTTTAAAGGCAGCTACGATTCTTTATTATTATTATTATTATTTTTTTTTTTTTTTTTTTTTTTTGAGTTGG